TCAGCCAGAGAAGGGTGGCAGAATACAAAATATCCATAGGAACTCACTTAAGGTGTGTACAGTACCCCCAACCGAAGTCCCGCTACCAACCACTGAGCCGGTTGTCCAGATGCAGGGACCCATCCAGCCCATGATCTACGGGTTCCTTCCAGCACCGGTAGCCATACCGCCTGTGAATGTGGAACCTGAGGGTGCCCTACGATGCTCCACCAGGGTAAACTTTGGACAAACTCCAGTCCGTTATAGAGACTCATAACATGTTGCAGGGACTGCTAACTTTAAAGTGTGGGGAGATGTCACGGGGGGAAGTTTGATTTTATTTAAGCATGCTTTTACTTTGAATTTGCTGTGTTTTTGTCTTATTTATTATTGCATGCTTTTATTTTGAAGTGTGTTTGTGTTACGTTGGTTTTACTTCCCCACCGGAGACATACCTTAATCAAGCATAAGGACTTACACCTGGCACCCAGAGAGGGGAGTGACTGTTCTTGGATAAAAAGGACACTGGAAGATACCCGGGGGCACGAGGGAGGACACAGAGGGCACGAGGGAGGACACGGAGGTCACAACGGGCCGGACAGCAGGAAGCAGACAGAGAGACAGAGCAGATCATCGCACTGGAAGAGGTCTGAAGAGACACCGGAGCAAACACCGACCGTTAGCGGCTATAATTGGGAGAAGGTAAAACTTCTCCCTCCCGCGTAAGTCCCGTTTCAGACCGGTGTTTGTGTAGTGTGTAATATATAAAGTTGTGCCTTGTTAAAGGACATTGACTGGCCCTGAGTTTCCCTCGACAGGCTGCCGAAGAGCGGAGCCAGGTGAAGAGCAGGTGGTCGCCACCAGAGACCCGCGACTGCCGTTGTTGACCCCCCCACTCCATCCGTGCCACATTATTTTAGCTGGGTTTTAGTTGTTTGTGTTCTTTGTTTAGTTTATTTGAAGGTAGAGCTTTTAGTTGTTTTTACTTATTTTAAAATAAATTGTGTTCAACTGTGTTCCACTGGCTGTACTCATTGTTTTAAAAATAACACTGTTTACTGCTCTCCCCCGACATAAAAGAACCTGTTTACCCTAACTTTAATTTGGTGATCCTAAGAGGTCCTAGGCCTCAGTTAAACCTAGGTGGCGTTGTCGGCACTTGTGTTTTAATTTATCCACCCTTAGCACGGCTCACATTTTGGCGTTGTCGGCAGGACCGGGTACAGAGAGCAGTGTGGTGTATTTTAAAACAGTGAATATGATGATGCCTGTATATCCTGGTGCCCCTTGGCTGCCAAAGTTTAAAGGACCAAATTGTGACCTGAAATATCATGACTGGAAGGAGCAAATACAGGGCTTACTTGGAGCGCAAGAGCTAGCAGAGGCCAGAAAAATTGACATTGTGTTGGGTGCGTTAGCTGGGGAAGCCAAACGGCAGGTCAGTGTTTTAGAGGATGACGAAAGGGATAGAGTACGCAAAATCTTTCTGTATTTGGACTCTCTATATGGAGACAGAACCCCCGCCCCAGTGTTAAGGTCTCAGTTTTTTAGTTGTGTCCAAAGACCAGACGAGACTGTGCCCTCATTCATTCTAAGACTAAGAGAGCTGTATTGCAGGTTGCGGCAACATGACCCTGATGGAACTCCCCCTGACACAGTCCTGCGAGACCAGCTGCTGTTGGGGCTGCGTGAAAGTTCCCTGGCTCAGGCCCTGAAGGTCTATGCCCGCCGTAACCCTGATGAAACTTTTTCTGCACTCAGACAGGAGGCGCTGCTGCTTGATACAGAACATGGGAACCCCCAACCGGAGGTAATCTGTGCTTCTGTGTATAAACCAAATGTGCCTCCTCCATCACAGGACACCAGCTGGAGAGAGACCCTGAAAAGAGAGATCATGGAAGACGTGAAATCTCAGATGACCGGACTGACCCAGGAACTGTTGCGAGAGATTAAACCGCTCCTTCAACCAGCTGTTATTGCACCACAGCCCCTAATACAGCCCTATAGGGAGCGACAACGATCAGTTTCCCAGACGAACACCTGGGATGAGCAAGGTAGGCCCATTTGCCGCCAATGCAGACAAGCCGGCCACATAGCTAGATTTTGTAGGAGGCCAACTACTGCTCGGCAGGCTTTAAACTAGCTTTCCCTGCTGCTGAGGTCCGAGGGGCAGGGGTTGAAAGTACAACAGAAGAAAACGGGCCCACTGAAGCATTTATTGGAAGGTGTCCAACTATAGACGTAAACATTGAAGGAGTTACACTGTCGGGGCTATTAGACACGGGGTCCCAGGTCACCTTAATGCAGCAAAGCCTCTTTGAGCAACATTTTACCCAAGCTAAGCTTGGAAAGGCTCCTATAGTTTTTAAGTTACAGGCCGCAAATGGCCTGGAGATCCCTTATACGAGCTATGCCGTATTAGATCTGGAGCTAGAGGGTGCTAAGATACCTGGAAGAGGAATTGTGATTGTGAAGGATGAACACTGTACACACCCACTCATCATTGGAATGAATGTTGTTACTGCTTGTTGGACTGTTTTTTTTAAATGTCCCAGAGGGTCTGTTCCCCCCCCACAGACGTTACAGAGACAGCGGGTTTGGAGGGATGCATTTGCTACATGCAGACACATTGAGGCTACCATGACAGAGGACGGGATGTTGGGGTACGTGCGGCCAGCCAGCCGACGGGTCATCAAAATTCCCCCAAAGAGTGAAGTACTGGTGTGGGGTCGGGCTCGGATGAGCCTGGGGGGAAAAGATTACTGTGCCCTAATTGAAGCGCTGCCTGAGACTTGCAGTGTGAGGGTGGCCAGGACCCTAGCAGTGATAAGAAATGGCAGAGTCCCTGTGAGAGTTTTTAACCCACACCCCTACTGTTTGATGCTAGATCGGTACCAGAAGCTTGGCAAACTGTCCCGGGTGGATGAAGCGGATGTACATGGAGCCTGCGACCTTAACCTGTCCCTTGAAGGTGATTGTGTTGTTGGAGTGACACTGGTAAATGCTGCAGTTGACGAGGAGGACCAGAAGCTGCCGATAGGGGTGAGTGAACTCTCCAACAGGCCTGATCTGTCTGAGCAGCAACAGGAGGAGCTGCGCGCCCTGCTGCTGAAATGGCAGAAGGTGTTTGCACAGCACAATGAGGACTTCGGACGTACAGACCTGGTACAACATCGCATCCATACTGGTGATGCACCACCTATCCGAGAACGACATCGACCTCTTCCCCCTGCCATGTATAAAGAGATGAAATCCCTACTCTCAGGTATGCTGGAGCAAGGTGTCATTAAAGAGAGCTGTAGCCCATGGGCGGCACCCATAGTACTGGTGAGAAAAAAAGATGGCAGTTGGAGATTCTGTGTGGATTACAGGAAGTTAAATGCAATAACTCATAAAGATGCATTTCCCCTGCCCAGGATTGAAGAAACCTTGACCAGTCTGACCAGAGCAGAATGGTTTTCTACTCTTGACTTAGCCAGTGGCTATTGGCAAGTTGAGATGGACACCCAAGACCAGGAGAAGACCGCCTTCACCACACCGCTGGGGCTGTATGAATTTGAGCGTATGCCCTTCGGCCTGTGCAATGCGCCAGCTACCTTCCAACGTCTGATGCAACAATGTTTAAATGGCCAATTGTCAGAATCCTTACTGGTTTATTTGGATGACATTATCATTTATTCACCTGACTTTTCCTCCCATCTACAGCAGCTAGATGAGGTGTTTAACAAACTGTGGCGGCATGGCTTGAAACTGCGCCTGGATAAGTGCAAACTCCTGCAGAAGGAAGTGAAATTCCTGGGCCATGTGGTGGACCAAAAAGGGGTGAGTCCTGATCCAGACAAAATCTCAGCCGTAAAAGACTGGCCCATCCCCACCACTGTAAGACAGGTACGAGCCTTCCTTGGCTTAGCTGGCTATTACAGACGCTTCGTTTCTGGCTTTGCAAAGATTGCACGCCCCCTCAACCAACTGCTGACAGGCATCCCTGCTGATAAAAAGTCGCAAATCCGAAAGGTACAGTGGTCCTCAGAGTGCCAGACATCCTTTGATCACCTGAAAGCAGCTTTAACACAAACACCTGTTTTGGCATATGCTGATTACTCCCTGCCATTCCTCGTTTACACAGATGCCAGTAATCATGGTTTGGGAGCAGTCTTGGCCCAGGTCCAACAAGGGCGAGAACGAGTGATAGCCTATGCCAGTCGCAGCCTACACCCAACAGAGCGGAATGATGCAAATTATAGCTCTTTCAAACTAGAGCTCCTGGCTCTTAAGTGGGCAGTAACCGAGAAATTTAAAGACTATCTGACTGGAGCCCGATTCACGGTGTACACTGACAATAACCCTGTGGCCCACTTACAGACAGCTCGCCTGGGTGCCGTGGAACAGCGCTGGGTCGCACAGCTTGCCTCCTTCGATTATGACATCAAGTACCGCTCAGGTAAAAGTAATGTAAATGCAGATGCCCTGTCTCGGTTCCCAATTAACCCACTGACTGCAGATGCCTCATGTGAAAACCTTGAGCTGGAAACCGTTCCAGTCACGGCAGCCATTGAACTGACCCCTGAGGGAGGTGAAGAGGAGTGGACAGGCAGAGAGTGGGAGGAGGCACAAGCTGGTGATGCGGACCTTCAAATCATTAAGAGGTATGTGGAAACCCAAATGATACCGACGAGACCAGAGCGCCTGACATTGTCCCTTAGAGCCCAGAGACTGTTGCAACAAAAGCGAAAACTTCAGGTTAAAAGCAAAATACTGTGTCGTAAAATGATTGACCCGCACACACACGAAGTGTGTTTCCAGATTGTGTGTCCAGAATCTAGGAGCCAAGAAGTTTGGAAGAGGATCCATGAAGCCGCTGCCCATGCTGGTGTGGAGAGAACCCTAAACCGGATCCGTCAGCGGTTCTATTGGCCTGATATGGAGAGGGAGGTACGTCAGTTGCAGCAGGGTTGTGTTGCCTGTAACCTGCAGCGAGACAGGGTGGAGCCTAAGGCCCCCTAAATCCATTCACAGTATCCTACCCCTTAGAAGTGGTGGGGTTGGACTTTTTGTCCTTAGGTCGGCCCACAGACACCTACCAGAACATTCTTGTTGCTACTGATCTGTTTACCCGTTTTTCTTGGGCTATTCCCACTCGAGATCAAACAGCTCAGACTACAGTAAAGGCCCTGTGGACCCATGTGATCCAACCATTTGGTTGCCCCGCCCGTTTCCATTCTGACCAGGGACCTAATTTCGAATCTGCACTTATGAAACAATTTTGTGATACCTATGGTATAACTAAAAGCCGCACAACTCCCTACCATCCCGCAGGAAATGGCAGTGCAGAGCGTTTTAATCAGACCTTGTTAAATATGCTCCGCTCTTTAGAGACGTCTAAGCAATCTCACTGGCCCGACTATCTGCCCGAACTGACACACGCCTATAATAACACCACACACAGTGCGACTGGGTATACCCCTTCCTTCCTCATGTTTGGGCGACACCTGCGACTTCCTGTTGATGTAGGATTAGGTGTAGGTCCCCAACAGATGAGGCACGATGTAGGTGGGTGGGTACAAGACCACCAGCAGAAACTGTCCTTAGCTTATAGCCTGGCTAAACAAAGAATAGAGAGTGCAGCCACCCAGAACAAGCAGCACTATGACAAGAGGGCCAAAGCGTTACCACTTTTACCGGGGGAAAGGGTGTGGGTGCGAGATAGGAACAGACGAGGGGCAGGAAAGTTGTGTACTTGGTGGGACCCAGAGCCATGGGTGGTGTTGGAGCAGGTGGGGGATACAGGGGTTGTGTACAAGATTCAGCCAGAGAAGGGTGGCAGAATACAAAATATCCATAGGAACTCACTTAAGGTGTGTACAGTACCCCCAACCGAAGTCCCGCTACCAACCACTGAGCCGGTTGTCCAGATGCAGGGACCCATCCAGCCCATGATCTACGGGTTCCTTCCAGCACCGGTAGCCATACCGCCTGTGAATGTGGAACCTGAGGGTGCCCTACGATGCTCCACCAGGGTAAACTTTGGACAAACTCCAGTCCGTTATAGAGACTCATAACATGTTGCAGGGACTGCTAACTTTAAAGTGTGGGGAGATGTCACGGGGGGAAGTTTGATTTTATTTAAGCATGCTTTTACTTTGAATTTGCTGTGTTTTTGTCTTATTTATTATTGCATGCTTTTATTTTGAAGTGTGTTTGTGTTACGTTGGTTTTACTTCCCCACCGGAGACATACCTTAATCAAGCATAAGGACTTACACCTGGCACCCAGAGAGGGGAGTGACTGTTCTTGGATAAAAAGGACACTGGAAGATACCCGGGGGCACGAGGGAGGACACAGAGGGCACGAGGGAGGACACGGAGGTCACAACGGGCCGGACAGCAGGAAGCAGACAGAGAGACAGAGCAGATCATCGCACTGGAAGAGGTCTGAAGAGACACCGGAGCAAACACCGACCGTTAGCGGCTATAATTGGGAGAAGGTAAAACTTCTCCCTCCCGCGTAAGTCCCGTTTCAGACCGGTGTTTGTGTAGTGTGTAATATATAAAGTTGTGCCTTGTTAAAGGACATTGACTGGCCCTGAGTTTCCCTCGACAGGCTGCCGAAGAGCGGAGCCAGGTGAAGAGCAGGTGGTCGCCACCAGAGACCCGCGACTGCCGTTGTTGACCCCCCCACTCCATCCGTGCCACATTATTTTAGCTGGGTTTTAGTTGTTTGTGTTCTTTGTTTAGTTTATTTGAAGGTAGAGCTTTTAGTTGTTTTTACTTATTTTAAAATAAATTGTGTTCAACTGTGTTCCACTGGCTGTACTCATTGTTTTAAAAATAACACTGTTTACTGCTCTCCCCGACATAAAAGAACCTGTTTACCCTAACTTTAATTTGGTGATCCTAAGAGGTCCTAGGCCTCAGTTAAACCTAGGTGGCGTTGTCGTTTTTTTATTTCCCCCCTTCCCCCCCCCCCCCCACCCCCCAAAATAAAAAAATGGTGAAAACGAAAATGAAAATAATTGTTATTAATGTGTACGGCACTTGTGTCTTTAATAATTATTTTATTTTTTTTTTTTTAAGGGAAAAAGAAAAAAAGAAAAAAAAAAACACCAAAAACCCCCAAAAAAAAAAAAAAGCCATCCTTAGCACAATGGTGCTCACCTTCTTCACTGGGACAGGGAGGGGAAAAGGGGGGGGGGGAGGGGGGGGGCGCTTCCCCCCCTGTTTTTGTTAATTAAAAAAGGAGGGAAAAAAAAAAAAAAAAAAAAAAAAAATAAAAAAAAACCCCTAAAAAAAAAAAAAAAAAAAAAAAAAAAAAAAAAAAAAAAATATAAATAGGGTTAACTTAAACCCCAAAAAAAAAAAAAAAAAAAAAAAAAAAACAAAAAAAAAACAAAACCCCCCTTTAAAAAAAAAAAAAAAATAAAAAAATAACCACCCCTCCCTCTTTCTTCCCCTCTCCCTTTTCTCTCCCTTTTTTTTTAACCACCTTGGATTTAATAATTAAAAAAAAAAATAAAAAATTTTTGGGGCCTTCCCCCACCCCAAAAAAAAAAACCAAAAAAAAAAAAAAAAAAAAAAAACCAAAAAAAAAAGGGGGGGGGGAAGAAGGAGGGTTATTTTTTTTTTATCTTTTACTGCCAAAAACAAGTAAAAACAAAGAGATCATTAATTGTATTATTATATTTGAAATATATATACTGAATGATGATGGTTTAATAATTTTATATTAGTTTTTACCTATTTTTTGGGGCCCCTGTCGGTCTTGGGCCCTTGGAATTGCCCTGGTTGTCACCATCTTCAACACTCATTGAAACCAGAAAATCAAATAAATTCTGGCAATAAGATCAAAACCTGGGTGGAACTGAGGTGAAAAAGTGTTTTCCTGCTCACTGCAGGTTTGCTTGACCACTTCAATGTACAGTGATTTTGGGCATACACCATGTGACAGCGGCACCCTGGGTTCAGCTCAGGATCAGTGCCTTTTTTCTGTTTTTTCTTCCACAACAGAGAATAATGTCTCAATCCAATAAGTCTACAATTATAGAGGCAGTAAGATATACATACAACATTCCATATGTATATGTTTTGCCATGATATACAGAGGTGTATAAAGTACTTGAAAAAAAATAACTAAGTAAAAGTACAAATACCATAACTGAAAATGACTTTGGTAAAAGTTAATGTCACCCATAAGAAAATCACTTGAGTAAAAGTCTTAAAGTAGCTCACATTAAACGTACATAAGTATCAAAAGTATCTTGTGAAAAAATATCCTCAAGTATCAAAAGTACAAGTGCAAGTAAAGTACAAAGTATTTTTACAGTACGCATAAAAAGAAGCAAAACAACTCCCCTTGTGTTTCTTGAGGTTGGATCTGGTGGCACTTTGGTAGGCACAAGAGGCACTTCATTCTGTATGTTTTAGGATTTTCCCCCATCCCAAAGTAGCCAAACATTGTTGCCAGGTATGACCACGGCGGGTGACTGTCGTCTTCTACCGAAGGAGATGCTTTCAGTGTGGTAACGTCTTCCGTGTCTTCCTCATCAACGTTAACCGTGGAGGTAGCCATGTTGATCTCCGCCGCCCACCGCATCCCGCCCTTACCTCTAATCTTCGCGAGAGTACTGTACGTTGTTCTTCTCGTCCTCTCGGACACGCCCATTCCAGATAATTCTTTGATGATTAATTATATTTCAATTTTAATTTGTAACGAGGTGGCAAATGTCAAAGTAACGGAGTAAAAGTATATTTTTTAACTTTTAAATGTAGTAGAGTAAAAGTAAAAGTCTTGATTAAAAAAAACTCAAGTAAAGTACAGATCCTCAAAAAAACTACTGTACTAATACTACACTAAGTAGTGTAACGAAGTACATCTACTTCGTTACTATACACCTCTGATGATATGTATTCAGGTTATGTTTCATGCAGTAGCTAGAAGCCATACAGGTGTGAGTCCATCAGTGCAACGGAAAGCACCATGAAATAGTTGCACTGAGTTGGATGGGAATGCATGGAGTAAATTGTCTGCCTGTGAAGCATGTGGAGCATGGAAGGCAAGGTATGGAACAAATTTCTGCTCTCGCACTGTCACATGGATAGTAACATGATTATTTTGAGCAATGGGTCAGGAGCTTGGTGTTACTTTCTGTAAGCAACTACAACTTCATTCATGCAGGTGAAAGTCTGCAAGTGAGCTCAGACTTACTCAGACAGGATGAGTGTTGATGTGAGCCTCAAGACGTCTCGACGTGTGACTCTCTGATGTCACAAATGAGCTCACACAAAAACTTCCTTCATTCCTTCTGCTGTTGTCTAGATTTTTCATGACAGCTGAGAAAGTGGGAATTATGTCTAGAAGGAAAAGAAGCAGAAAATAAATAATGGCTGATGTTGATGCTGTTTAATTTCAGTGTGTCCCATGACATCTGTCTGGGGCTTGACTGTTTTTCAAAGCATGTACTTAATGAATCATCTATGATATCCATATTGCTTATCTCTGCTTACAGAAGTATTAATCCTGTGTAACTAGTTCCTTGTCTGTAATTTCTTCTGCTACAAAAGTCCTTAAAATCACAGCTCTGACAGTGTGACATGATGTGACAACAGCAAACTAGTATGTAATGTCTGTAATACAATAATTATGTCTGACAGCCAGTAAATCAATCAATCGCAGCATCCATCAATCACAAACCTTAAAGAAATCTAGATCAGAACCCACACAGAAAGCTAATCTCCTTTCTCCTTCCCCGTGGGCACTACCTTTCCATCAAATTTGATTAAATCCTTTAATCTGTCAACAAGTTTTAAAGTTATCCTTATTTATAGCAGACCAGACGTAAAACAAAACCTCCTCCACTCACAGCATCTGCACTGGTCCTCAGGTACCCTAAACTACAATTAGTTCTTAAACAACTCATTTTCATTGGCATTATAGATTTAAAATGTTATTTGTCAACAAAATAACAAAATATTCAGGTTGTAACATACATCTTCAGATGCACTGGACAGTGTGTCTGGTTTTTCAACATCAGACACCCTCACCCAGGCAAGCCAACCAGGGTTGATCAAGTCCTGGCTTGTGTCTCAGTAGTGCTTACACTAAACGGTTTGCCAGAGGCTCTTTCCGCTACCTCAGTTGCCCTCCTCATTGCTTTTTTTTTCATACATCGTTTCATTCCCAGGAGCCTGAGCACTATTCTGCAAAAGCCCCTATATCCCACTTTTCCTTCCCAGGGAACAATGAAGCATGACCAGCTGCTTCTCTGATTCTGACCACATGTCATCACCTATAGAAATTAAGATATTTTTTCCCCCTTCATTTGCCAATCTCAAGCTGCAAGGAGGATCCCTGATTTTGAGGTCTTCTGCTGCTGTCCTTCCCTGACAAATGTAATGAGTCTCTTGCTGGCTGGAGGCTCTGGTGTTGTTCATTGCATGGTGGATTGCATAACCAAGTGCTGAATGTACTTGGAACATATCTTTAAAATGTTCACTGTCAGTATCTTTCATAATAAAATCATGGTTTGGTTGAATCTGTCATGGTAGAGTCATGCTTTTAGACATCCTGCCTCATTACAGCATCATCATTAGGACAGCTTATGTAGCATCAACTCAAACTGTTACAGGAAAAGTGAAAATTGGCTCCTACTAAAGATGTAAATCTTTAAAAACGGCTCATATATATTGCTTCACTTTTTAAAGAGGTTTAGTAATTTCCTAAAACAGGTGGGAACGTATTTTGACTAAAAATAAACTATAGTGTGTATGTTGACGCTAATGAAAGAACAGGTCTCCGGTTTTGAGAAAACAATGATGCTCTACGGCTCAAAGGAAGGAAATATATCAGGCTTTTGACACACATGCAATATATGTAAATAGGATCAATTTATTATTGGTTTTGGTGTTATCATGGGATTTGTTAAGAGTAAGAAAGCTGGCACCCCATTTACTAAGGATGAGTCCTTGTGGCAGTGGCACAAAGTTTAAATCCGACCTGTGGCCCTTTGCTGCGTATCATCCCCTCTCTCTCCCCCCTTCCTGTCTATCTTCAGCTGTCACTATCGATTAAAGGGCAATAAAAGCCCCCGTATATATATATATATATATATATATATATATATATATATATATATATCACCAGCCTTGTCCTTTAGCGTTCTGGGTGTTTCCGTTTGATAACCATGCTGATTTCATCCGTAATGGAGCACTCCCATATTTTAGTCGGTTTTAATAGTATGTGACCAATATTTCATACTGCAGATGACCAGCAGCATAAAACCAGTGTAAAACTTGTAATGTAATGTTCAGTAATTAAACAGATAGATATGTTGCCTTTCTGCACATTACACACAAAGTTAGTAAAAGTAACATTGTGTAATCTCTTCTCTCAAAACTAGCTCCCACAGACTTTTGGGCTTAACAGTGTAATGTCTCTCTGGAGACGCGGCTTGTCTTTCTTTTAA